TTCATCATTTCTGAAAGCCATAAACAAATCATTCATTGGCTATAGTAGTTTAACCATATAAACAAAACCTAAATGAATATGGAAACTGAATCTGTACTCTGTGGCAGATTCTTTGGCTTTGTTCTTACTTCTCCTTTGCACATGTTTAAAAAGAAAAAGATACATATGACAAATGAAGGAAAGGGGGGAAAAAATATTCTCCAAACATGTTTGGTGATGGCCAGGACAAACTGGGGGCGGAGGGGGGGGAATGCTATTGGTTTTGGAAAAGCTTTGGAGATGGAATGGATGCTTTGTATGGCAGTTTTTGTCAACCAAAAAAGCCATTATGCTTGTTTTGTTTGATAGAGTTTGCTGCATCATATAAGTTGAGACTGGCAATTTTGGTGAATGAGCTGGGATTCTAAATTTTTATTTCATTGGGACTTGGAGTTGTGGCTGTATTTAATTTTAATTCAACTAAATAAGCCTGGATAAGAATCAGTTTAATTTTGGATTGTTAGAGCAAGATATAGTTTAAATTAACCACATATGTTTTTGTTCAAATTAAACAAATCATAGGATTGAAGTAGAAGAGATTGCAAATGTTTCTTTAGAATGATGACATATATCATTGCTTGATATCACTTTTAAGTTAGAAATTCCTCTGTGTTGGAAAAATAGAATCATATTTAGCTCACTATCTAGTCTGCCAGGGAGGGAATGCCATGAATATAGCCTTATTCACTCTTTCAATAAGACTTTCTATAAATATTTAAATTCTGGTCATATGATGTAGCTATGCACACTATCTTTTGGAGTTTCATGGCTCATTGTTGTTTTAAGCACTTCATTATACAATTAACATTGTTACACTGGATTAATCCATGAGATCCAAAAGGTCTCGGTCAAGTTTTGAAGTATTGGGGGGGAAATCACGATAAATCTGGCAGTAGAACATATAAAAGGGATGATTGAAAAAAAAAAAAGCTGTACTAGCATGGACCTGTCTAATTCTATGCTTTGTCTCTTTGAATATCAGTGCTAGGTAAAAACTATACTTCTCGTATACCCCCACACCCCATTTTATGGAATACAAAGCTTTTTTTTTTTAATCAGGAAAGGTAAAAAAAATAAGAAATCAGAACTCTACCTCTGCACTGCAAAGCACATGTAATGCAGACTTATATTAACCAGAATTTTAGAAGAGAGACAGAGCAATTTGCAAGATTCCATCTACAACTCTCATCCAGAAACTCTCTTTCATTAAACTGTTTGAAAAAAACCATACACAACAGCAGTACAATCCTGGAACACATACAAAGCAAATTAACACTGGGATTGAAATAATTCATCTGGCCTACCAGTCTATGGAAAAGGACTAGAGAAGAAAATCCTACAAATGAATGACTGGTTATGAAAAGATATTCCTAGGATTTGATTTCTAAGGGAATGGTCTGAGTTATTTAGCTGATGGACTTTTAGTAATAGATCAGTTACATCTCACAAAAATTGGCAAAAAATATACAGTATTGCCCAAACAATAGTGAGCTTAAAACCTGTCAGAGTTGGAGATGGGGAAAAAAAAACTTCTGCCAGATGGGTGATGTCTAGACTTGCAGAATGATGATTTTATTTCTGATATGAGCTATTTTTGTAATTACAGATTGAAAAAAACAACAGTTGATGAAATAGATAAACAAGATCTAGATTTAAAATTTAAGTGTTAATTCTTAAATGTATTCAGAAAGCATTTTGGAAGAACATAGCAACAGAACTTTACTCAGTTACGTTTAAAGACTGAATGATGGGTATGTCTGGTTTCTTGTTCAGCTAAGCAGCGAAGCCAATTATGTATTGCTGTAAGTTCATATTTTGAACTAGGTCCATCAGGAAGACAAAACCCCTGATGGTGATATTGGTTAACAAAATGTGTAGCTTAATATCAGTATTGATAACAATTGTAATAATTCCTATCTCATTATTTTCAGAAAACTAGGCAACAAAATAAATGTGCAGTTATTCCAGTTTATAAAGGGGTTAGAAGGATTTTTTCACCTCAATATTGTTGGGTTTTTTGCCAGCTTTAATATCTGTATGTACTTGTATCTTCTTGCTATCTTACTTTTATCTCTTGATGTTATGTAATCTCTGGTCAGATATAATTGAACATTTTTCTTCTCATAAGACCTTGTTATTACCAAATGCCTAGTAATTTTTATACGTTTAATAATTTTATATTTGAGCAAAAGAATACAGTAAATAGTTTTTACATTAGATACAATATTCTTTTTATATTCCGGATAAGACTTCAAAAGCAATTCAAGCATTAAAGAGGAACTGTATATGTTACAACAGTAATCTGTGCATACCCGGTTTTTTGCTTAACCCATAACTGCACGTTAGACAGTTGGATGCAATTAAATTAATTGATTAGGAACATAAATATATTATACCTGAAATAAGAACTTTAGGTAAAGGCTTGTATAGTTTAGAAAAGTTGGAAGTGTTTTTTAAAATGAGACCTATTAAACCAATCAACTAAAAAAATCAGGAAGTCTATAAAATTGTAAAGTTCATAGCTTTTATTGCCCATACTTTTGCCAATAAACAAAGCTTGAGCTTGAACAGTACCAAAGGCAAATAAGATTTAGAAGGCATAATGAAGACCTGGTTGGATGATTCCTATAATTGAAATACAATGACAGAAGGATGAAAATTGTTCGAAAGGAACAAGTGATAGAAAATGAGGCGGAGTTGCAATTGAATGAAGTTGGTGATGCTTTAGACTAGAGTATAAAATTAAAATTCTGCAAATTAACTCTGCGAATTAACAGTTCCACCTTATTCTGAAATTGTTGCATCCTCATCTCAAGTATTATGTCTAGTAGGATCATTCTTATCCATTGTAGGGTCAAACAGCCTGGAACAGATTCAGAGAATGGTAATGAAAATGAGCAGGAGATTAGAAACTAAGTGGACTTTTTAAACTTTGAAACAAACAAACAAAAAAAACAATACCAAAAGAATAAATAGCACCTTTCAATTAGCAGAAAAGAAGTCTCCTTTTCCCCTTGGAGCTCTCTGAGCTTGGTTGTTTTCTTGCAGATATTTCATTACCCAAAGTAGATGATGCTAGCACTGATGGTGTTACTAGTTTGGGTAATAAGCCATCTGCAAGAAAACAACCAAGCTCAGAGAGGACCAAAGAGGTGGGGGAGGGGAGAAAGAAACATTTCAGTCATGTGCTACAAATATTATCCTGTATTGGAAAGAATGTCGCAGAGCAGAATATCAAGATCTACTTATTATCATTCCAGAATACAGGACATAGAATAATGAATTTAACTTACAGAAAAGAGTAATGCTAGTATGACATGATCTGTCAATTCCCTTTTGTTCTCTCTTCAAGCCTTCCAATCAACAGCAATGATGTACATTTACAACATTTCTTTTAAAATAATAATCCAAATATTTGAAGTCTATAAAAGTGTATAGATTGATGTGATGAACAGGTCAGTCATAAGGGTACCACAAGATTCCTTGTCGTAAATACTGTGTCCTTTGACTGACTTGCTTTATAGTTACTTGTATAACTGAATTCAGAAGTAGTGGAAACCTGATAATTGATCTAATAATTAGACCAAATTTTGGATTTAGCCTTAAACTATATAATTTTCCCTGTAGTCACCAATATTTTTGGATGAATTAGAATTGCTTGTCTAGAGTTAAAATTATGGGTATGGCTGATTTCCAACAATGGATGCTATGGCACACATAGTCTTTCATTCTCAAAATATTTGCTTTTTGGTAGCCACTCCTATTATGCAAAGTTTCCTATTTCTTAGGAAATAATTTTCCTATTTAGCAATGTTAAAAGATAACTCACCCAAATTAATCTTTTGTAGAAACTGTAGAAATATTTATTGTTCTATGCAAAAGAAAAGTTGAAATAGATGTAACTCATGATCCTGATAGAATGATATATATTTTACAGGGTTTGCAGTACACTATTTCAGGAAGGAAAGAGAAAAGAAAGATATCCATTCTCTACACTACAATGTAAGCTAGATCAAAGAGATAGTAACATCCATACACGTGCTCACATATAAAGTTAAATTGAATTTATATGTACAATTTCAATCATCAAAAGGCAGGACAAGCAGTTCTTTAAAGAAGTGTATTTCTTACTATCCTCTTTCTTTCTGATGTCCTTTAGAGCAGCCATTGCTATGGGTGCTATAATACTGCAGTAAATAAAACTCTTACTTTGTAAACAGTATACTGCTTCTTTAAAACCCCATAGAATATTTTGGTGTGTTTGTTTTCTTTATTTTTTTTAAATAGATGGACAAGCAGGAAGCTCAGGGAAAAAACAACATTTTTAAAAAGTTTATCTCCAGATTTGAAATAACAACTTTATGTACACAAAGCAAATATTATAAACATTGTATTAATTATAAAAGGCTTCTTTTAAAATGTCTAGAGAATATGGTAAGCATAGGCTCATTTGAAGGGGTAGAAGCATTCCTGTCAAACAGACAACAAATGGTCAAAAGTGGGAGTGTCCTATCAAATTCTGTCAACAGTGGTATTCCTCAAGGCAGTGTTCTAGGACCAACTCTCTTCATACTCTACATAAATGACCTCTTTGATCATATTAAGAGCAACTGCGTTCTCTTCGCTGATGATGTAAAGCTGTTCAATACCACAGACAATACTGCTACCCTTCAAAAAGATCTTGACTATGTATCAGAATGGTCAAAAAAATGGCAACTTCAAATCTCAACAAATAAATGCTCTGTCTTACATATTGGCAAAAAAAAATCAGAAAATAAAATACAAGCTGAATAGTCAAGAACTTGTTGATGATCCAAGCTCTGTAAAGGACCTTGGAATACTCATCTCTAATGATCTAAGTGCTAGAGCCCATTGTAACTACATAGCCAAAAAGGCATTAAGAGTTGTTAACCTAATCCCTAGCTTTTTCTCTGGTAATATCACAGTACTAACTACAGCATACAAAACATTTGCTAGACCAATACTCGAATGCAACTCATCAGTCTGGAACCCACATTACGTATCTGATATTAGCACAGTTGAGAAAGTACAGAAATATTTCACTAGAAGAGTTCTCCCCTTCTCTACTCATTGCAGAATACCTTATGCCACCACACTTGAAATTCTAAATCTAGAAAACCTTGAATTACGCCATCTTCGGTCTGATCTAAGTATGGTATATAAAACCATACATTGCAATGACTTACCTGTCAATGAATACTTCAGCTTCAACCATAACAACACAAGAGCAAACAATAGATACAAACTCAAGGTTAACCGCACCAAACTTGATTGCAGGAAATGTCTGGAATACTCTACCTGACTCTGTGGTTTCTTCCCTAAACCCCAAAAACTTTAACCTTAGACTGTCTACTATTGACCTCACCCCTTTCCTAAGAAGTTTGTAGGATAAACTGAGGGAGATGAAACAAGAAAAGAAACATCCGGAGCACCACAAGTGCTATTTACTTTTTAGTGCTAAGGGTAGCAAAGTGGCAAGACTTTTCTGCTATTATTGCATCCATAGATGCCCTGCAACCTTTTTCAGGTGATTTGAGCCCTGTTTACTGGACAGGGATCAGATCCCTTTACAGAGTCCTGGTGGAGGAATTTGCTTGGCAGCTGTCAGACAAGGTCACCTGATGCTGGTCTTATTGCAAGTTTTAAGGAGGCCCCAGAGGCAGGTGCCTGCTATGTTTTATATTTTATTAGTAGTCTTCCATTTTCTGGGATCAGTCTCAGAGTTTGATGATGCAGGAGGAGAGATTTCACCCTTGTTCCCTACTTTGTGTGATTCCATACTCTCACCTCTCTTTTTTAATATCTACATGAAGACACTGGGTGAGATGATAAGCATGGGATATGGTATCATCAGTATGCTGATGATATCCAATAATATCTTTCTGTCTCTAGTGAATTAAACAGTGCTCTTGATGGCTTCTACTGAATCCTAGCAATATGAAGTAGACTTTGGACTTTGGTGGCCTCCATTTTAGAACCATGTTCTTTGGTACTACATGGGGGTTGCATTGCCCCAAACAAACCCAATATGCAGTTGGGGGGAGGCCCTCCTAAACTCACGACACCTGTTCAAAGAGAAAATTGCAGTCATGACTAGGAGAGCCTTTGCACAGCTTCATGTTGTGCACCAATTTTGCCTGTTCCTGGGCACATTGTTTCTTTCTCTTTTCTGTAGCTTTAAATCTCTAAAAAGGTACAGGTTGTCAATTTTGCTTTAGTTATTCATAATTCTTTGGGATAAGGAGAAGAGTAGCTAAAGCTAGAGAGAGAGATAGGTATATTTGTTAGGGTTTTTCACAGACTTTATTTAGGTATTAAATAAATATATAAATATGTAAGTTTTTTTAGAAAAATATTTATATGAATATCTAATCTGAATTCATAATCTCCCAGGATTTGAATTTATAATCTCCCAGGATTTGAAATGGACAACTAACATTAAATGCATCATTAAAAAGGCACAACAAAGAATGTTCTTCCTGTGTCAAGTCAGAAAGTTCAGACTGCCCCCAGGACCTGTTGTTATAGTTCTGTCATTATTGAGTCTGTCATTTGTACTTAAATAATAGCCTAGTTTGGTACAGCAACCAAACAGGTCAGGTACAGACTTCAATGAATAGTTAGGAATGCGGGGAAAAAACAAAACCAATTGTAACCATTCTGGCTTCTATTGAGGATCTGTGTACTGCACAAACTAGAAAGAGGGCTGAGAAAATATCTACAGCTGTAGATTTAGATATATAGTGTGTAGATCTGTAGATATACAGATCTGCACAGGAGACAAATTCCTTGTGTGTCCAATCACACTTGGATTCTATTCTATTCTATTCTATTCTATTCTATTCTATTCTATTCTAT